TGTTGTTGTTGTTGTTGTTGTTGCGTAAATAATTACCTGGCTCATCCCTCCCAGCAGGCCCGTCGCTTCTCCGCGAATCCCGCCCCGCGATCGATCGATGTTTTCCCATTTGAAGCTGTGATAAATAATCGATTATTAAGGTCCGCGATTATTAAGGGGCTGCGAACACCCTGTTTATCGATACTTTTCCATAGGTTTAAATGGCCGATCAATCGAGTTATCGCAAAGCACGCCACGCCACTGATCCCGCCACTTTCGGAACGAGGCTCCAACTTCCGGGGAAACGATTTTTCACGAGTTCCGCAACCGTGCCCCCCTGACCCCCGCCCGTCTCCGTTAATTCCCCCTTAAACCCTTCTTTGTCCGGGGCAAATGGAAAAACTAATGAAGGACCTGCAAGGGCGTGTTGCAATATCAGGGGTTTAAGCATCCGGAAAAGGCTGGGAAAGTCGGGGAGTTCTGGCCGTGGGTGGTGGAGATGCACTGAAAAAAAAATCTCGGTGTATTTACTAAGAAAAGGGTAAAATTACAAAGAATTCAGAGTTCTATTTGATCTCAGTTTTTTCTTGGTAAAAGTACCATTTATGGAATTGGTAATTTTACCGAGAAATCTCGGTAAAATTATTGAACTTTCTCGGTAATATTACTGGACCTTGGTAAAAATACCAATATTTTTTATCGACTGTGGTAGAATTACTGAGATAAAATGGCAAAGTTACCGGAAATTGATTACGAATAAAAGTGGTATTCTTACCTGAAAATAAACAGTAAAAATACCGGTTTTTAGGTAAGTTTACCAGTCTGTCTTGGTAAAATTATCAATAATTTGTAAAAAAAGTGAGTTGGTAAAGGTACCAACGGACCTTGGTAAAAACGCCGAGAATTTTTTTTCAGTGCATATTGTCGCCTTGCGTCCTAAGTATCGCAAGCGCCATGCGATGTTTAAAAATTTCCGCCGCAATTTTATTTTTTTAAAAGAGAAATTGTTAGTTGACTCAGTTTGAAAATTTCACTGAATTTAATCGGCAGCACAAAAGAAATTCAGTGAAATTTTCAAACAGATTCAACCAACAATTTCTCTGTAAAAAAATAAAATGGCGGCGGAATTTTTTAAATGTTGCATGGCGCTTGTCATTCTTTGGCCGGAAGGTAACAATATCAATATTGCCAAAAGTAAACGCGCTTTAAAGTATCCCTTAAAAACAATGCCTTTTCTATGCTTCTATCGAAGACTGTTGATAAAAATGTAAACGAAGAGAAGAAAACCAGTTGGACTTAACCTAATGTTTTACCACTTTCAATGACAAAAATTATGGCATATAGAGTGCGAATACTCCAAACTTTTGCGTTGAAAAAACACAACGCCGCAAGTTTGAATGAGCGCCAAACTTTGTGGCCGACGTTGCGCCTACAAACCTAAAGGGATACTACAAGCATCGCGCGTCAAGTGCAATGCTTGAAGTGTTCCTCTAGGTTTGTAGGCGCTAATATGCGTCTCGTGCAGGCCGCACAGTGCTCGGCGTGATTTTTCAAACTCGCGGAGTCAGCGGTTTTCAACTTGTCATTACGAAGTTTTTGTACACTCTGAATGGATTAATGTCACTTAGAATGATAAAAAAAAATACAAAATTATCTAGAGTCCAAGTAATTCTCTTAATTATCTTTATTCACATATTTAATTGTCTCAAATAAATAAATGCATCGAAAGCGCCTTGTATTCGAGAAATTCTGTAAGCGAGCTTACTTCTGGTGTAAATTTCTGTGATTGCGTTCAATTTTAGTGAAAATAACCGTAACGCTTTAATTTTGAGGGAAAAAAAACTGCGACCGCATAATGTAACAGTGCGTTTACTTAAACCTAGGATTGCAGAACCTGGCGCATACTGAACAAGCAAATGTAACCCAGAGAGTGAAAAACTCTACACTCGAGAGAACTATGAACACATGAGAGGAGCGTAATCTGAGAGTTTTGTCCAACTTAGAAGAAAATAGCGATAGATAAAATCGTCCTCACGTGCGGAAAAGTTTCCAATGGGTTCCTACACGTGGTATCCTTTGAGATGCGTTTGCTCGATGGAAATTCAATTGGACATCAAAACCTAACAAATCAAAATCCAGTTAGTTAAGATCAAATAAAAAGACCAGGAATGGAATCAAATGGAAATAGCTCTGAAACCATAGAAGTCGTAAACAATTAAGTCCTTTCATCCCCCTGCCCCGCCCAAGCAGCGTCATCTCCCGGCGCGTTCCATCAGGGGGCTCGTAAAAAAACAATCTGTAACTCGTAAAACGCAGTTGATACGCGTTGAAACTTTATTGAGACAGTTGGAGTGGTCTTTTAAGGGAGGGCAATAATTCCTGTTTTTCGCGGTGGCACCCGCGCGCGGCCGAGTTCTCAAGTCACACGACGAAATTGAAATTTTTCAAAGTTTTAATCGCTCGCGGAATGTAGGCCGCCGCACACTGGGCCGGGTTAATAAAAGAAGTCAGTCAAAATCTGGCAACTTCAGGGTGTCTACAAGTCCGGAATTTCCGGAAAGTCCGGAAATAGCACCGATTTTTCAAGGGCGGTCCGAAATTACTGAAAAAGTGCGGAAATTTCGCGAGAAAAACCGGAATTCTTTTCATTTTTGTCGCAATTTGAGCGGTAAATTCAAATTTTTGAAATTTTTTGAATTTCGTCACTTCAAGACACTGAAAAATTACTGTAAGATTACTGATTTTTGGCCAGCCTGTTTTAGAAGACACCCTGAAATTTTAAAGCTTATACTTTCGAAAATATGAGGTAAGAAAGTTTAAGAGTGGCTCCAATGTTTTTTTCATAAAATTTCCGTTCAGAAACACCTCTTGAAATTGAATTTGTGATTAAATAAACATCAAAATTTGAAATTATATTCAAAAATTCATTTCCGACCTCCTCTATTAGCTCGAGCCATTGTGCGGCGTCGCGTTGGGGAATTAGAGTCCGGAGATGGGAGGGTTGTCGCCTTTGATTAATTGAATTCTCAACTTTACGGAACTCAAGCAGCGTCGATTTTATTGTTTCATGATGAAGTTCGTTGGATTCCGAGCTTGGTTTCGCACCCGTGGCGCGGCGTGCTTTGCGATATATCGATTGATCTGCCGTTTAAACCTATGGACATGGATCGATGTACAGGGTGGACGCTCCGAACACCTAAATAATCGATTCTTTGCCATAGCGTTAAATGGGGAAATATCGATGATCGATTATTCACGCCTCGCCACTTTTTCACACCGATGGTAATTCCTCTCTACTAAGGACGGAATATTTTACAGACCTCACACTAATATTGTATAGAAGTTATTTCCAGGGTTCAGCATCTAACACTATACTTGAGGCCCTGTGCTCGATGGTTGATGATCGAGCGATTTGGTTAAAAATCCGTTTACCAAACGAAAATTAGTTTGGCAAACTCATTATTATTCTCAATTTTACAAAAACTGTCTGGGTTCGGGTCAGGCATCTAAATTACTCCGGTACATACCGAAGTGCCTCAATGTCTGACCCGAACTTCGGAAGCTGGACCTCAAGTTTTCGGATGAGTGATCCGAAAACTTCAGAGATCCATATGACCTCAACTTCGGGTCCCATGCACGAAGTTTTTTTCTCCGTGTATGTTTTTGATAGTTCAAAGTGTCTGGATCCGACTATGAGATGTAATGTATATCTTTTTGCTTGGGACTGAAGGCTGATTCGGGTGTTGGACTTGTGTTTCCAGGTGTTCGTGGCGGTGAGCAACGTGAACGACAATGTGCCCCTGACGGAGAAGCCGGCGTATACGGCCTACGTGCCGGAAAGTTCCGGTGGCGGTTCACTGGTGCTGCAGCTCTCGGCCTCCGACGCAGATTTGGACCCCGCCCAGAACATCACCTACCGCATCACCAGCGGCAACCCGGAAAGCTTCTTCAACATCGACCATACCTCAGGTACGAACTCTTCCTCACCAGTTTCCCTGATGATCCTCAGATCTGATCCACCCCTGAAGCATGATTAATTGGACGTATTTCTGCCAAACGGAACTATGTGCAATGAGACATGAGCCCTGAGACATATGAGAATATATGCATAACAGGGCTCACGTCATAATGCACATAGTTCCGTTGGGTCCAATTCTCTTTTAAATAAAGTAGCGTGATGCAAACCACCAGTCCTCACAGTGGTCTTGAAGCAAGAAAAAAATGCGACAATTTACCCAAAAACGGTTTGCAGGCAGTAATCGAAACTCACAGGCGCCAACGCACCAATTTCGCCTAAGAAATCGGTCATGGCGCCTAAAAAATAAAGGCTCTGCGCCACGGTGGCCCCTAAAAATTACTCCTCCCTCCCCCCAAAAAATCATAATTTTCCTGTTTGGTGATTTTTCAAAATTTTCCCCAAGTTACAGCTACTAGTTCTGTGACTAAAATATCTTGCGTCTAACTTTTCACTAAATGTGCCATGATATATGGGGAAAAAAGTCAATTTGGCCCCTTAAAAATCTTCAAATGGCCCCTAAAAATCGAGCTTCGTGCGCCTTACGGCCCCTGAAACTCGAAGGTGAGTTTCGAATACTGTTTGCAGGGGGTGAGTCTATGGCACGCGTGGACTTAAAATCGCTGAAAACCAAAATCTTGGCTGATCCTATTTTCGAGTCATCGCAATTTGCAATTTTCATAGTACATAATTGCGGGTTTTCTACTAATTTTGGTCCGCTTTTTGATTTATTTATCGTTCAATTCATGTCAATCACATACATACCTCATCGTTTTGTGCAGACCACCTACCATACTCTTTTTTTTGTAACTGAACAATTCGCCTTCTGTTGCGTCTGCAGCAATTGTTGTTACGGACATGTTGTGCGTGCTGATTTCAGCGCATTACATACTTGACTCTTTGAAGGCGTTTCATGTGCGAAAGTAGGGCACCCTGTCGGAGAACAACAGAAGTGAGATTGAATGAATCGCTCAATACCCACTTCGTTCTCCGACAGATTGCGCCACTACCGCACATAAATCGCCTTCAGAGAGTCGAGTATGTAATGAGTTAAAATCAGCACGCACAACATATTTGAAACAACAATTGCTGCAGACGCAGCTGAAGGCGAACTGCTTTCACACCTAAATCGTCTTCAGAGACTTAAATACGTAATGAGCTGAAATCAGAACGCACAGCATATCCGTAACAACGATTACTGCTGATGTAGCAGAAGGCAAAATTTTTAGTTTAAGAAAGAGTATGATAGGTAGTCTGCATTTAACTAGAGGGTATGCATTCGATCGACATGAATCGAACGAAAAATAAAAACGTGAACCGATCAACACCAATTCAATGTATAAATAAAAAAACGGATCAAAATTAGTAGAACACCTGCATTTACTTTGAAAATTTCAAATTGCGATATCTCGAAATTAGGATCAGGCAAGATTTTGCTTTTTCGTGATTTTAAGTTCACACGTACCATAGACTCACCGTCAGCAACCCGTTTTTGGCAAATTTTTGGGAAATGAAAATAACGCTCCCTAATCTCTTTTTACCTTAAGTCCCGCCTCGAGAAATCTCACCAATGAGCGATCCCCTCTCCTTCTCCCAGAGCATGGGTTCAAATGACCAGTCCAATTACGGCGAGACAAAGGGTCTGCCAAACTTTCCGCGCATCGAAAAAAGAAGAAAGAGGACGAAAAAGTTATAATGCGATTGTTTCATTTTTTCCGTGCATTGCGTTCTCGCCAATGCCAAGCGCAGCGCGACGACAGGGGAGGGGGAAGTGGGGGGGGGTGGAGACGGCGGCATGAAAAGCTCCAACTTTAACGAAGACTCGACGCGCGCCGAGTAACTTTTCCGATTTGAATTGCGGGGCAACTTTTCGTCTCTTTCAAATTGACATGGAGCTCACAATCAGTTTACATTAGAGGTTTTCAAAGCAGTCGCATTGTTCGCCAACTTTTCCGCACCCAGCCCCCCTCCCCCCATTGCGGGTCGGAGGTCGGAGGGATCATCCCTGCTACTACGGTACTGAGTACTGGCTGGAAGCTCAAGATACTCGCAGTTTTTGACACTGTTTGTACTGTCGCTACGGTGGTGAATATGATTATTCGTTTTAAGAATTTCTCAAAATATTTTCCAGGATAAAAAAAGTGTGTTAAAAAAGTATGTGTAAAAGTATGTAAAGTGTGTGTACGTAACGTAATACCGAAGGTGTGTTTGAGGGAAAAATCCGAAACTACTACAACGGTTCGAGCTCCCAAGGAGGTCATATTGCCAAGAAGGTTATTGAAGGCGAAATAAACAAAACGAGACACGCAGTAAGGAGAGTTGGACTACTTTAAGCAGAAAGGAACCAAGTCACATCAGCTATTGCTTTTAATTGGGCACTTTAATTTTTTACATGCAAGTCTGCAACGCCGCAAACCGAGGTACGCACTTCTGCAGTTTCACCATCGACAATTGGATCATTGGTACAGAGATGATATGAGGCAAAATATCTGCAAAAGGCGCCGCACTCCATACGGAGCAGTGGCGTGGCGTGCTTTGCGATTTATCGATTGATCTGCCATTTAAACCTATGGAAAATGATCGATGAACAGGGTGTTCGCAGCGAACACCTTAATAATCGATTCTTTACTATGGGTTTAAATGGCATAAAAATCGATACATCGCAATGCACGCCACGCCACTGATACGGAGGAGCGTGCGCCCAAAATCACTCGAGCTCACAGATTGTAAACCACCAGCGCAATATCTTGCGCAAAAAAATACTGAATCATTTGCGGCGGATCGGAGGACGTCAGCACGTAGATACAGAAAAATAGGATTCTTATTCAAACGTGGAAAGCACCGGGCGAGGAAATGAGTTGGAAACTTACGATCTCCAAGTGGAGTGGATCCAGCATTTCCAGCATTGCCGTGCAAAACTCGATTCAAAGAAACCGGGAATTCCCCTATTCAAGTCGAAAGTCCCCTTCTTTCTGTTCTCGGTACTCGTCACTCATTTCTTTGTGAGCGCATATTTTCCTCTCTTCAACTTAATTTGAACCCTTTTCACTTCTCCTCGTAGGAGAAGTTGCAAACATTTGAATCTAGCTCCAAGCCCGCGATCCCGTTTACCACTCCGATCTTCTATCTTAGATTAAATCAGTGGCGTGGCGTTCTTTGCGATATATCGATTGTTATGTCATTTAAACCTATGGAAAAGGATCGATTAACAGGGTGTTCGCAGCGAACACCTTAGTAATCGATTCTTTACCATAGCTTCAAATGGCGAGATATCGATAATCGATTATTCACGCCACGCCACTGTATCTTAGATATTCGGTGCTCGGCAGGAGCGAAGAGAAATCTTTATTAAGGTCTGGTCCACACGAGCGCAGTTTCGACGAATTAGTTCCAGGAATTTGGGACAAGTTATCGGTAAGTTATAACAAGTTCCTGGAACAAGTTCGCCCGAAGTTCCTTGAACCGCACTCGTGTAGACGAGGCCTTGGATACACCTGCGAAAAATGTTTCTTATTCTTATATCAAGCCATTTCGTTCTCATTTTCTTTAAATTTTGAGCTTCGAAATTGAAATAGGGATAACTTCTGACTTAGCCCTAACCCCATTGCTTCAAAATTAGCGTAAACTTTCTCCGAAAGCCGAAATGCAAGCTGAAAGCTCCAATTTTATTCTTCCACGACTAGGTGGACCGAGTTCATCAAAAAGGAATCAATTCACAAAAGTCGAAAGTGAGAAAAAGGGGTTTGAAGTTTTATTCCTGCATGAGGCTCAATGCAGAAATTGAACTTTAACTCCTCTTCTCACAAATTAATTTATGATTTTCGACTTTCAGTTTTTGGCAGGAGAAATTGTGCGACTAGTGGAACTCAAAAACATTCTTAACTCATTTTTTTTTTCCGAAAAGTGGATTGGTTTCTTTCTGATAAACCCGTCGTTTGTAAAGCACGTATTTGACTAAGTTGTTGCTTAAATTAACTCATTTTTGCGGAGGAACGCTCATTTAGTCACATTCTTGGCCATCTTGGTTTGATATTGGAATCTGAAGATTGGCAGTGACATTTTGAGTCGGAGGATTGGCTGCCCTTTTTGCGCTCTAACAGCTCCATATCTCGACATGTCCGTGCTCTCTCCATGTAGGCACTCTAGTCGCCGATGTTCACTCACCGAACACCGACACGACAAAAACTTAGAACAAAGGGCGTGATAGCTCTGTGCGATCATCAACTGTTCGCCTTCAATCAGTTGGTTATACGCAATAACCACAGTGACGCACGAATGGTGGTATCATAATCTTGCATCTAAACATGTGTGGTTTTTGAAGGCGTTAGCGAGAGGCGAATAGAGTGTTATTGGTAGAATGTATTCTTCGGGACCATTTTCTATAGCAAACATCATATTTAATTAAAAATTCTATATCACGCAGAATTATTACGACCAAAGGTACATTTTCGATAATTCCTATAGCAGTAACCATGCGGTTTTTTATGTGTACAGGCAATTCTCCCATACCCCCTTCCTCCTCAATCAACATTGTGGGTGAATTTTTTCACTTAAATCAATAATGAACTGATCAAGCACTATTATAAACATTGTAGTAATATTTATATATTCAAGCTCACTATATAGAATTTTCATATTCTACATCACAACCTACAGAATTTTTAAAAAAATCAAATATGAGAATCAGAAGTTTCAACTCAAAGAATATCAATACCTCTATAATACACATTATTCCAATAATTTTGATCTCTATTAACCCAGATATAATAGTTATTGTATAGTATATTAGTTATGTATACAACGTTACAAGTGTCTCAGCTATTTTGGGACGATCGGATGGCACTCTAGTGGCAACATCGTGTTTGTCTCGAAACTTCACGAAAGGAAAAGTATTAAATGTGCTGGTTACATGCTCAAATTCCTATCAATTCCCGATCAAATGGTGACTGGTGCG